AACACTGTAGTTCTGAGCCATACTAGCTAGATTTTCTATCTGATAGTTTTTCAGAAGACTATCTAGAGGACAAGAAATCTTTGCTAGTTCTGACTCTTACTTAATGAATCTGTTGAAGAAAGCATTCTTGCAGGATTCTTAAACTATAAACCATAGATAACAAAGCACAATGGCTGGTTAATGCAACATACTAGCTAAATCCAAACAAATGATATATTGCTTAATCAATAAAGGAGAATATTTGTAGCTCAGGTTTGAAATGAGGGGTCCTTGGTGCTCTCTGAGGTTAGTTGTTTTCTTGCAGATGTTTCATTACCCTAACTAGGTAACATCAGTGCTAGTCAAAAACACACTAGCACTCATGATGTTACTTAATTTGGGTAATGAAGCATCTGCAAGAAAACAACCAAGCTCAAAGAGCACCAAGGACCCCTCATATTGCTTAATATGTATCCAGCTAGGATGATAGTGTTCAATTTTATATTTGGCTTTGTATTTCTCTAAGTGAATTTGGATTAGTCATTTATAATGTAAGTTATTTCACAGGCCTGTCACATGCATAATATTGGAGAGAGGAAAAGAACCACTTTATATTCTCAAGCTCCTTTTAGGAAAGGTGAGATAAAAATGTAATTGATATAGATAGGCATCTGTCAAACGCTGTAATGATGTGAATGATATGAATGATTATTATTGTGTGCATTTATGAACTATGTAATTATTTACATGATGACCTTATAACACCAATGATATTTGCCTGCACTGGCCAATGCCCATATAATACATTTCCTAAAGTGTGTACTAATTTAACTCAGTATACAGGAGGGCTTCCTGATCCTCATATACATTTGTTTATCTCTAATAATGTAAAACCCTCATGGGCAGTTCTCAGAATAAAATAGATTTTTATGGATTGCATTCTTGCAAGTATTATAACCATTAGCCCAAATCAATCCACTGGATGACAAAAGCCCTTCACTGAAGGTTATTGACTTCAGTTTACAGTTGGTCTGTGCATGTTGGTTAAATAGATTTTTTTTGTTTTACTTCTCAGCCTAGGCTGACTGGCCCAAGATCACCGAACTGATTACCTTCACCCAACTGGCTTCCACGTCTAAAGGAGGTGTAGAAGTTGGGTCTACCTGACCTTTGCCCATTACTTTCATTACTATACTGCACTGTCTGTCTCTATGAGTACAACTGATGTCAGCATGTATTTTTGTCATGCCAGGGCCATGATGTTAACCATATACTAGCCCTCTCACCTTTCCTAGGCAGGTAGATACCAATCTATTTAAAGACATACAAAATAAAGCCAGGTATTTTTGGAAAAAACAACACGGTCACATTGGTCTGGTGCTTTGCATAGAAATATTCCATGCATGTATCAGCCAACTTCATTCAAGGGTGGCTGTGCGTATGCCAAATTTTTGAATTTAGCAGGAGTAAAACCTCTGCCAAAGCAATTGCCAGAAAATTCTGTGAATCATGCAGATCATTTGGCTTTAGCAAACTGGCAATGTTTCATATTTGCACGAGCAGCTCAACCACATTGTATTGTTTCATGGTGTAGCTCAAGGACCTGCAAGCAACCTTTTTCCATCTGGTGTTGCTGCAATGTTTCTTAATAGTTTAAGAAGAGCAAAGGAATCTATGAGATGTAATTGGGTCTCATCCACAGGCTTAGCTTGTGTGAGTCTGCTCTATTGCCTCCTGCAGTGAAGTGTCATCTGTCATTTTTTTTCTCCTCATTTTTCTTTTCTTATTGATACTGTATGCTAGCTGAATCCATGCTAAACCACAGAAAAACAGCAAAGTTGAGGTAGCATGTCTCCTTTTGAGACATGTTCTTAATGAACTTTTCAGGCCTATACTCTGAACACCCAGGTTATACTAGAAAAGTGAGTTGGAAAGAGAAATCAGAAAGGATGGGGTTATGGGGAATGCAAACAGTCAATAAACAAGAAGCAAACAAGACAAAGTAATAATAGACTGTATAAAATGTGTGCATCGGACATTATGGCTTCATCATATTTCTGCTCTGCCTCTTTCCCTTCCTTCCACTGTTTTATGAAGTATTTGAGGTTTTTTATAGACTTTCATTCTCTAGTCTGCCTGCTAGTACAAAAAGCTCACATGTTTCAATTTCTAATTTATTCACTGAGTTTCCTATGAGGAAAAGTTTTGCTGACATACTTGCAATAATGTAGGTGTAAAAAGGATATTTTGAAATACGAGTGTATTATAACTATTTTGAGTTTTTAAACTTGAGGAACATGTGACACTTTATCAGATAGAGATTTAGACTGTATAACTGCTTCCTAAATAAACATCAAATTTCTGTTAATTTAGTGAAATTGAATTCCAGACAGCGCCTTTTGATTTTAATCAAAGGTAAAATAAAAACTCAAGATTATTCAAATTACACAAGTGTTGGTGGTCTGCCTTGGCCACAACATTCTGCAACTGTTGGAAATCAAGCTTCTTAACAATCGAATTTGGAGCTATTAGGAGACACAGAGAGAAATACAATAAAATGTATTTTGGATATAGAATACTTTGTGTCTCTCAGTGGAAATTGTTGTTGTTGTTAATTGCGAAGTCGTGTCCGACCCATCGCGACCCCATGGACAACGTTCCTCCAGGTCTTCCTGTCCTCTACCATCTTCTGGAGTCCATTTAAGTTCACACCTACTGCTTCAGTGACTCCATCCAGCCATCTCATTCTCTGTCGTCCCCTTCTTCTATTGCCCTCAATCTTTCCCAGCATTAGGCTCTTCTCCAGTGAGTCCTTCCTTCTCATTAGGTGGCCCAAGTACTTGAGTTTCAACTTCAGGATCTGGCCTTCTAAAGAGCAGTCGGGGTTGATCTCTTCTAGGACTGACCGGTTTGAACGCCTTGCAGTCCAAGGGACTCGCAGGAGTCTTCTCCAGCACCATAGTTCAAAGGCCTCAATTCTTTGGCGCTCAGCCTTTCTTATGGTCCAACTTTCACAGCCATACATTGCAACTGGGAAAACCATGGCCTGGACTATACGCACTTTTGTTGGCAGGGTGATGTCTCTGCTTTTTAGAATGCTGTCTAGATTTGCCATAGCTTTCCTCCCCAGGAGCAAGCGTCTTTTAATTTCTTGGCTGCAGTCCCCATCTGAGGTGATCTTGGAGCCCAGAAAAATAAAATCTGTCACTACCTCCATTTCTTCCCCATCTATTTGCCAGGAATTGAGAGGGCCGGATGCCATGATTTTGGTTTTCTTAATGTTGAGTTTCAAGCCACCTTTTGCACTCTCCTTCTTCACCCGCATCAGGAGGCTCTTTAGTTTCTCTTCACTTTCTGCCATTAGAGTGGTATCATCTGCATATCTTAGGTTGTTGATATTTCTCCCGGCAATCTTAATTCCAACTTTTGATTCATCTAGCCCTGCCTTTCTAATGATGTGCTCTGCATATAAGTTAAATAGGCAGGGCGACAGTATACAGCCTTGCCGGACTCCTTTTCCAATTTTGAACCAATCAGTGGTTCCGTGTCCAGTTCTCACTGTTGCTTCTTGACCAGCATATAGGTTTCTCAAGAGACAAATAAGATGGTCTGGTATTCCCATCTCTTTAAGAACTTGCCACAATTTGTTGTGATCCACACAATCAAAGGCTTTAGCATAGTCAATGAAGCAGAAGTAGATGTTTTTCTGGAACTCCCTAGCTTTCTCCATGATCCAGCGTATGTTGGCAATTTGATCTCTAGTTCCTCTGCCTCTTCGAAATCCCGCCTGTACTTCTGGTAGTTCTCGATCCACATACTGCTGGAGTCTAGCTTGTAGGATTTTAAGCATAACTTTACTAGCATGTGAAATGAGTGCAATGGTGCAATAGTTTGAACATTCTTTGGCATTGCCTTTCTTTGGAATTGGAATGTAAACTGACCTTTTCCAATCCTGTGGCCACTGTTGAGTTTTCCAAATTTGCTGGCAAATTGAGTGTAGCTCTTTTACTGCATCATCTTTTAAGATTTTAAATTAATTAAAAATTAATTTAATTAATTTAATTAATTAATTAATTAATGGAAATTAATACATGGCTATAACTTTTATTGTGAAAAAGTTCTGAATAACAATTACTAGTTAAACCTACTTGAGGAACATGACACATTTTGTTGTAATGTTTAATTGTACTGAAATTAAAACCAGGCTGAAAATAATTGCAAGCTTGTTTATATGGGTTTAATGATAAAAATCAGTCGAGAACAAATTAGCTGTGCTTGTGGAAAACAATACAATATCATTTTTTTGTGTTTCTTAATTATCAGTTTGGAATTAAGTTTCTAGAGTAGCCATAGACATTGCCTCATGCAGTATTATGCCTGGAAGTTACCAAATGATGGTACTACAACTGTCACAAGTTATATGCCAAACAAAGCTAATAAAAGGTGCTCCTGGCTATTTTAATCTAGAAAACCAGAGACTTAGACTAGAAGTGCCTCCAAACTGCTTAGCTGCATTCTATCTATCCATTGATAAGATAGAAGTCTGCCAATTTCTGATCCTTTACAATGACATGTTATATTACTACTACTACTAAAGTTGGAAGGGACCTTGGAGGTCATCTAGTCCAACCCCCTGCTCAGGCAGGAAACCCTATATCATTTCAGACAAATGGCTGCCCATTCTTAAAAACTTCCAGTGTTGGAGCATTTACAACTTCTGGAGGCAAGTGGTTCCACTGATTGTTTGTCAGGAAAGTTTTCCTTAGTTCTAGGTTGCTTCTCTCTTTAGTTAGTTTCCACCCATTGCATCTTGTCCTGCCTTCAGGTGCTTTGGAAAATAGCTTGACTCCCTCTTCTTTGTGGCAGCCCCTGAGATATTGGAACACTGCTATCATGTCCCCCCTTACCCTTCTCTTCATTAACTAGACATTCCCAATTCCAGCAACCGTTCCTTATATGTTTTAGCCTCCAGTCCCCTGATCATCTTTGTTGCTCTTCTCTGTACTCTTTCTAGAGTCTCAACATCTTTTTTACCTGGATATATTTTTAAATTTTATTATCTCTTATCCAACCATTATTTAGTACAGTCTAGTTTTCAAGGAGCCTTTAAATTATCTAAAGAAGTTACAGAGAAAAACATGTGTATCATTTCCATTTTGGAGAATATCTTTGTGAGATTTGAAGTTGGGTGCAAACCTAATAAACAGAATGGAGCATAACGTGTAGCAAGGGAAAATATAAGACTGAGAACTAAACACTTAGCATCCTTTCTCCAAGTAGTAGAAACTCATGATGAAACATTCTCTATGTTTGGATGATTATCCAGTCAGTCAGGATTCCTTCTGTCCCATTGTTTTTGTGTATCTCCACAAACCATCTGCCTGATTTTCTATAGCTCTTCCAAGAGTGAAATAATATATTTTCGGGTTTTAGAAAAGTCTAGATTTATTTTTGTCACTTGACAGAGAACCCATTTTGGGCAGCTATCTAACAACTTAAAGTAGATTGATTTATCCAATGTACATCTCTAAAAACAAATAAATATGGTCTAGAAACTTGCTTGTTTCTCTCTCAAGGTTACTGCCACAAACACTTAGCTATGAGGTGTTCCACCTGTTGGTATTTTTTAGGTTTTCTGGAAAGAGATTTGTTTCCTGTTGAAGATTTTATTTTTAAGTGTTTGTGACAGCTCTAAAAGCTCATATCCTCCTTTCCTAATCCAGTAATTAAATTCCACCTACCTGAATTTCCCCCTGCTGTTTCAGTTGAGCAAATTAATCTTCATACTATATTTTAACTGTAATTGGAAATTTTAAACAGCTGTTTTTGTTAAAGTAAGAGATAAAATATAAAAGCTACTGTATCTTGGGTGTGGAAAGCATGTCATTTCTCTCAACAAAGTGTTTGGATGTTCTTTCTCTGTTTAATTTGTTTAATTTATGCAAAAAAGGCACCCCATATCTTGCTACAAATTTTCACAATAACAAATAGTGTAGCAAAATAGGTCTATGTGGAAGTAAACAAAATAAATAAAAGTTGTGCGGAGTTGCTGGGAAAAATGATTTTTTAAAACTTTCCTATCAATTAATTTTTTTCTCAACAATTTATTCTTTCTAAAGCATAGAATGATTGTTTGACACTAAAATATAAACTGTCTCTGCACACACTATTATATGTGATTTCACTGTGTTTTCATTTGGTAACATTGATAAAATGTAACTTTAAAAACAATGGAAAAAAACCACAAAAATTGCTATTGCCCAAAAAAATAAAGTGAGCCCCTTTTCTACTCACTTTAGGTCTTTAAAGGAAGAATTGTCTCCAGGCAAACAAGTAAGGAAGTGCTTTTAAGCTGGAAATCATAGTTGGATCCTCCTTATAGTAGTGGATGTATCAAAAGCCTTGCACAACTATTACAAAAAATATTAAACACAAAAAACCTCTGTGCACTGGAAATTCTAGGTATCTTCAGCACACACCAAACAGTTGTCAATTGTTGCTAGTTATTGCAGAAAAATCACAAAATGTTGTTAGAGGAGGCAGAAAGTAGATCTGGTGCATCTCTAGATAATTTACTATTGATTGGCTATTACTAAGTAGATGTTGGAGCATCCTAAAGCCATCTGCCTCAGCATGAATGTTAAATGGCAACTGTGCGAACTGTAGTTTAGATTACAGAACTAGAAGTTTTGTTGATCTTGCTTATACACCAACCAGGATTTTAGATTTCCAATTATTTAACAATAAGAGTAACAATACAACTCCTCTTCCCCCAAATACTGTTGCTGAAATAACGCTAGTAATAAAATGGATAACTGGGATGAGATTTTTTGTGCAAAAAGGTGTGTGAGCCCCATCTGATTTTGCTATTCAAATAACATTTCTGACTTAAAAGTCTTTTAATTCTGAATAAATGACTTTTGAGCAGACAAGATGCCACAAGCCTGGAGTCTGCCAGCCCTACCTAAGAATTATCAAGATGTGCCTCCACCAGGCAGCCTCTCTTCTTGTGCTTCTTCCTTTTGCTTCAGGGACCACCAGGAGAAGGTTATGCAAAGATGTACTCCAGATACAGGCAGCAACTTGCAATACAGGGTATTTCTCTTTCTCTTCTGTCCACACCTCCCCCAAAGGGGAATCAGGCAGGAGAATTTTTTTTTCCCTTCAACCTCTCATGAAGGGAGGCGTGAATATTACTGCCTGCCGCGGAGCAAAGCGGGAGAATTATTTTTATATAGACTGTCCTGCCTACCCATTGGTGTAATAACTGGCAAAGGATAGACGGGGGCGGAACGAGGAACCGCCAAAATTGCGCAACTTGAGGCTATTGTTTCCCTCGCGAGCTTAATCTTGAAATAACTTTAGCTGACTCGCACCGAGAGGATGGCTGCTCGGGGCCCCGTTTCGAGGTAATCTGACACAAACGCGCAGGGCATCGCGCTATTCGCCCCGAGTTACTCTTCGTCCCGATCCTCTGAAGCAGGGCCCCATCGACGCAAAGGAAATCCCATCTGTGTGAATGGCAGTCAGCAACCGTAGGATCGCGAATTGTTGCCCCTTCAGCTAACAGCGCCTTTTCCCCTCATAGACAGCTTTCCTCTTTCCTCCTGCCCGAGCCGGGTCGGGCATTTCTCACCGAACTCGCTCCAAAGTTGCCGCGTTTGGCCCCCTCAACCCAGTCAGCCGAGTCCACCGGCCCCGGAGTGAAGCCGGCCTTCTTGAGCTTACCCCCTCGCTCGCCGCCAATCCCCGCCGGAACCTCCTTCGGCTCCGGCTATCTCATCCTCGCGGGGAGCTGCCAGCACTGCGCGGCGACAGCTGCGGCAAGCGAAGCGGAGGCAGGAGGCGGCTCGCGAGGCAGCCCTTCCCGGCGGGCGAGCTTGACCTGGGTGGGGGATAAATAGGCAAGGCGAAGCGCGCCACCCGCGCCTGCCTCTCCATTCGCCCCGAGAAGCGTGTGGTGGGCAGGGAACCCTGGGCTACTCTTCCCAGGGCAGGAGGAAGCACGGCGGACCGATCTGCGGGCGGGATTTCATCCGAAATCGGTGCCAGCAGAGGCGGGGGTAGAAGCTCTCCCGCTCTGGCCAGTGGCTTGAGCCACGAGGGATCCCTTCTCTTGGCGCCCGGGAACCGGCAGCAGGCAGAGCCGCCGGTGTACCTCTCTGCTCCGATCCCGCGGCAGGAAGACCCATCCGCTCCGTTTCCCCACCCACGGCGCCTCCCCCTCCAGCTTCCTCCTCCCTGGCCCGCCAACCCCACGCAGGGAGGACGGTCCGGGACTGCCAGCTCCGCTTGTAGACCCCTCCCGCTCCTCTTCCTCCTCTCCCGGGCTGCTCCGGGGGGGGGGAGGTGTTACTTCGCCGTGCCCCCTCGCGGGTCTAGCCTGAACTCATCCCGCCGGCAGCGCTCTCGCCCGCTAAGAGGGGCGGGAAGCGTTGCCCGTCAGCTCCAACCCCGCCCCGCCTCCCCGCTTTTCCAAAGCCAGGCAGACTTTTCTCTCCCCCTCCGCCGCTTCCCTCCTCTTCCCCAAACTCAAGATGAGGCGGATGAGTCGGCGGCTGGCGTTGTCTCTCCTGGGGATTTTGTGGATCGCCGCTCTCGTCCTCTTCCTCGGGGCCCGGAGGAAGTTGGAAGCGGCGGGAGCCGAAGGGCGGCAGACGCCAAAGGTACGTGAAGGGCCCGCCCCGCCTCGCCTCCTCGGTGGGATCTTGGCGGGGAAGAGGGGGCCGAGGGGAGAAGGGGACTGGGGAATACCCGTGCGAGGACAACGGGGCTTCCTCGCTGGCCAGGAACGCGCCAGCGACTTCGGATCGTAGCGGCCAAGTTGGTTCGGGTACAACAAATCAGCCTCTTGAAACCCACGTGGTGACCAGACACCTGCTCGTCTTCTCCCCGGGCGGAGCTTCGGTTCCCGCTTGGCGGCTGCGGTTGCTGGGCGGAGGGAGCCTCCTCGCTCAGATTCCCGTTAAAAAGAAAGCGGGTTTCCCCGCCAAGTTTTTTTTTTTTTTTGGTTGTTACGTTGCAGGCCAAGTGGGAGAAAGGAGAGCGAGAGAGCGCTTGCCGTTGAAAAATTGCCCCGGGTGACTGTATCGGGGGCTGCCCTCGAAAGGCAGCCAGCCGCCTTTATTTACGGAGTGTTGCTTTCCCGAGGTGAACCGAACCATAATTCACGCGATCAGCACAAGTTTCTAGTTTCACTAGTAAATCATTTGGACGGGATGGTGGCTGAGTTTATGCAACACTCCGGGCTAAAACGGTCTTGGCTCGGATGTGAGCAGAGATTTCCGGAAAAGTGATACTGGTGTGTCCGTTGCATATATAGGTGTAGAGTGTGGTGTTGTCAATCTGCATACACACACACACACAAACACAGTGTGCGTGCGTGCGTGTGTGTGTGTGTGAGTACAATGTTACACTTTAAAGAAATAAAAACATAAAACGTGCCTAAAAGCAAGTGCTTGTATCTTCTGATTCCTCCATACCCCTCCCCCACTTAGCTGTCACTATTTTGGCCTGATCAAAGATCGAAGCCAATGAAGGAATGCATAAGTGCCCTATGGTACTGGATCCTAAGTGATGCTTCAGGCACCCTTAAAGGAAGATTGTGGAACAGTTGGAAGTCAAAAAACATCATTCAGGAATTAATATGTTTGGTCCCTTAAGTACGGTACTTGATTGAAATAGATAGGGATGGAGAGTGCTTTTTTTTTTCTTCCCTTCAGTTTTAAGGGTATTTTCACAAGAAGACGCTAAAGCAGTGGTTCTCAACCTTTTTAATGCCATGACCCCCAACCGGTCGTAAGTCGAGGACTACTCAACCGGTCGTAAGTTGAGGACTACTCAACTGGTGCAGCACCGTTTGCAGAATGGGACTTTTGGTGGGCTTAGCAGGACAGAGACAGCCTGGACAATTCTTATTGGCTTTTGAAAGCCAATAGAATTAGACTCTATTCAAGAGAGTCTATTCTATTGGCTTTCAAAAGTCAATAGAATAAAAGGGAGTAGCACAGCTAAGGAAAAGGGGAAAAAAATGGCAGATTGCGTTGTTTGGCAACCCACGTGAAATGGTTGTTCAACCCCAAATGGAGTCCCAACCCACAGGTTGAGAACCACTGCGCTAAAGCCTTTTAAATCTGAAATGAGTTCACTTCTTAACTATGCAATAGCTAGACAGAAAGTGAGAGACAGTTTTAAATCAAATGTGCATTTAACTAAGAAGGATTCTATATTCAAGTTGCAGAAATGGGAACTGCGAAAAACAAATTTCAGTGTCATTTGTTAAAAATGGCCTTAATGCATTTAAAATGTTCTTGTTTAATAGGATATTCAGCTTTTGTAAATGGTTAAAGAGTCTTTAAACTAGAATGGTTTAGTGTTGTTCTTGGACACAAAGTGCACTTTCTAGGTCTATAATTTGAAGATTAAATCCTGCAAACTATATGCATTTGGTTCAGCTGTACAATGTTCAGAACACACACACATTCCATAGTTTATCTGGTAAAAGTTTAACTTCTGATTTACTTTCCAAGTAGCAATATTCACTCAAAAATTACAATATTCTTATGGGTTTACCACAGGGCAGGACTTACATTATTTTAAGAATGTTTTGCAGTGTAATCCTGTTCATGCTTACTTGAAAGTAGATTCCACTTTGTACATTCCCTGTTCATGCTTTTCTGAAACTGAGCCACACTAAACCGAATGCAACTTCTTTCCAGATAAGCAAACCTAAGATTTTGCCGTCTCATCATACTTGTTACAAATTCTTTAAAGAATTGTATTTCAGTGTGTCACTTTCCAGGTCTTTTGCTACCTTGGTGTAAATCTTATTTAATGAAGTTAAATAGATAGTGGTCCGGATTGGATTAGATGGACTTTGTATTAAAGATATTCCTAAATTTTTATCTATTTGGTACACTTTCGTATATTTCTAGTAAAATAACACAGAAACCATTTCATATTTCTGTAAGTAGTATTCACCACGATTCTTCCAACTTGTTATCTGTAGATGGAATCATTTCTCCAGCAACTGAGTAATTATGTAGTCCTGGACTTATGACCACAACTCAACTAGAATTTTTGTTGATAAGTAAGGTGGTTGTTAAGTGACTTGTGTCCAATTTTATGATCCTTTTTTTGCCATGGTTGAGCAAATCATTGCAGTTGTTAATTGTTAAGCCAATCCACCTTCCCCATTGAGTTTGCATGTTATAAGTCAGTTGGGAAGGTTGCAAAGGGCGATTACATGATCCCCTGATATTGCAACCTTTGTAAATACATGCCAGTTGCCAAGTTCCCAAATTTTAATCACATGATGTGGGATTGCTGCAGCAGTTGCGAATGCAACAAATGTTGCAAGTCACTTTTTTCAATGCTAATGGTCACTAATTAAATGATTGTAAATTGAGACTACTGTATACCCAAACTGAAACTGAAACTTAATAAAGCATGTGGATTAGCTCAGGTCAAGTATACTATCTGCATATAGCAGAGAGCAGGTAGCTTGTCTCCACAATGTATGGTTTGAAAATGAAGGACTTTGTTATCACTCATCAAACATCTTTTGTAGATACTGTATATTCTTGGAAATGTGTGCATACTGTGGGTGGGAGTCACTCCTCTGTACTTTGTGTAATATTTTTTTGCTTGAGACTTGAGACTGAATGTAGATTTTGCAAAATTATTTGTTTTAATCATGATTTGTTGAATAAGCCACATTGGCCAAGATGCCAAAATAGCTTATCCGCTGCTAAATGGTAAACAAATCACATTATGCCTTGGAGCAATGCACGAACTCATTTGTTATTGGGACTGGCAGAATGTGTAAGCAAACAGCATTATGGTTGGAAGATTGGCTGAAAAGAATGGCTTTATTTACAATATAATCTACAGTTATTCGGGGCACATTCATATATGAGGGCAGATGTCGTATAATACAAATGCATTTATCATCTGAACTGAAATTTTTAACTTTATCAGTTCAAAAGACTGTTTCATTTTTCCTTGGGGTGTATGTTGTCTGCTAGAGGTTACATTAGTTCTACAGATTGGTTTGGTTCCAAACTTAATGATTGTTCAGATTTAATGATTTTGGTGAATGCTGCAACCTCATATTAACTCGGAGTCCAATTTATTTTTAATAGGTGATAATGAAAACTGTGACTAACTGTGTTTCTGTGCAGGTCTAAAAATGCAATAATTAAACCAGTGGGCAATGTCTCAATCAAGCTTTCCACTCATGTCACTGGCTGGGAATGTCCTGGGCAAGAAAAAGAAGCAGTTTCTTTCATTCTTTTTTTTAACTGCAGCTTTCCCAGCTCTAGCTGTGCTGGACCGAGGAATAACTAAGCTTTTTTTTTAAAAAAATAATATTTTAATAAAGTAGAACCTTACTGAAATCTGCCATTTTTAAAAAATAAATAGGGTAGAAAGAAATTGATTTAAAAATCTTGAAATGTGAAAGAAATGCATTTTTCCCTATCTAAGCCTACAGAGCTCTGTATCCTGGTCATGAATCTATTATGGTTTATAATGATAAAATTGCCACCCTTTTTAAAACTTTCATGACAGTCTGTTCATCTCTATCATGTATAAACAAGGAGAAGAACTCTTTTTTCTATGCTGAGAATAGCTGTGCCTACTGACTTTGGATGGTACTGTTGAATGAGAAATGTTGTTTGCTTTTTTAAAAAATACCTGAACAGAGGTCACAAACATCTCCATTAGTAAGAATGAACATGGATTTTGAAAACTTTTGGCTATGGAATGATCAGAAATTTTCCCTATCATTAGCGATAAGCACCGTTCATTTTCACCATCATGGCTGAGAATGATTGGAATTGCAGTATGGTGCATCTAGAACAGTGTTTCTCAAACTTGACGACTTTAAGATGTGTGGACCTCAATACCCAGAATTTCCCAGCCACAATGGGGAATAGCTAGGCAATCCTGGGAATTCAGCCCCACAAATCCTAAAATGGCCAAGGCTGAGAAATGTGGATCTAGAGTGTTCTTTCTAGGGAATATTTTGCTTCTGATCCCCTAAAGCAGAGGTCCCCAATCTTTGAGCATCAGGGACTGGTTATATGGAAAGAGATTTTTCCAAATGGCTGTGGTTTTGTGTGCTGCCTGCATCCCGCAGACGGGACTTTGCTTGTTTGTGTGGCCCGATTGCTGGCATGCTGCAGCCCAGTACCGGTCCACAGACCAGAGGTTGGGGATCCCTGCCCTAAAGAGCTTTCTAGATCTCTCTTCTCTTCTCTTCTCTTCTCTTCTCTTCTCTTCTCTTCTCTTCTCTTCTCTTCTCTTCTCTTCTCTTCTCTCCTCTTGCTACTATATTCCAATCTGTTTAAATTCAACTTAAAAAAAAAAAGAAATTGCGATAGCCACAACTGTGAAAAATAAAACTCTTCAGATTTATAATTTGAGAGTTTCCTTTTCCTTCTCCTCTCTCATGGAGTACAGTGAGCAGCAGACGTTTACAAGAATGCATGATGTGATGCTTTTCCTCACGGGAACAGAATCAGCACTTCAGTCTGGAGACTAACAGCAACTTAGCTGGCAATCACCCCATCAGCTGTGGGGTTGAATTAGGCAATATCAGCTTGTCTATGGTCAGAAAAGTGCAAAGCTTGTCGGAAGAAAGAACTTGCTGATAAAGCTTCAA